CAATTCGAAAAAAAAAAAACATTTCAAAATGGCCGACACATTTGTTTCAAAATTGTCATGATTTATGTGTGTCATGGTTGTGTCTTTGTGAGTGTGTGTATGTGTGTATGTGAGTCTGTGTGAGTCTGTGAGTGCGGTTCTTTGAAAGAACATTTGATAAGTTTCATGATGACCGACAAAAAGGAAACAGACTTCGGGAAGTTATTCATTTTTTGAACAACCAAAATTCATAAAGAAATTTATATATATATATATATATATATATATATATATATATATATATAATTATGTCTTTTAAAATATGATTCTATCGCGACACAGACATTAGCATTTTTCGAAACTGAAACTCAAGTCGCAAAGTTTAATTTCAAAATTAATCTTCAAACTTAGCGCGCTTGAGAATGAAACTGTGCGCTAAGTTTTAAGTCTAATTTTGAAATTAAACTTTGAAGCTTGAGTTTCAGTTTCGAAACATGATAATTTCTGCGTCATGATGGAAACAGATATTACAAAAAAAAAATAATTATAATTTTAAGCTCCACTTCTGCATTGAGCACTGTTTTTGGATCATTAATCTGTCTGTTCTTTCCTATTACATCAATATACACACAACCATATATGTTAATAAAAACATTCACACAGACACAGATGTGTTCGTGGAGTGTATATATATATATATATATATATATATATATATATATATATATATGTATATTCACAAAACACAGATGTGTGTGGACTATACACACACACACACACACACACACACACATATATATATATATATATATATATATATATGTACAAATGTAAAAGAACGAAGATTTCAGCTTCAAAATATTGAATTTAAAACAGGGCTCAATACAGACGTAGACCAATAAATATTTATTTATTTATTTATTTATTTATTTATGCAGTGTTATATTAGAACATGCACATATCGACTACAAAACTGTATATCTTGTTTTAATGTTAAAATATTTGTTTAACGTTTCATCGGGTGGGAAATCACGATGCTACAAGTTCACTATATCAAACAACACGCGGACAAAACAATAATGATAAGTCTGTTTTTGTTGCATGAAAAATTTCATTGTTGTTTGACGAGGGTTTTCCAGAATGTGCTGGTGTTATGTCTCTTGTTTACTGCCCGGTCATGTAATTTAATTAATATATATTTGGGTAGCAACCTTTCTTTCAAGCATGTTTCATTAAAAATGGCCGATAAGAAACATTTAATTAATCTTTTATTAAGTTTTTCCAGCATTCTAACATTTTTTTGGTTTTTCGGGAGTTAAAGAATATAGAAATTGTCTATAGTTATAACTGTTCCGAGTGCTTTTGCGTAGTTCTCTAGCCATTATCAAGGATGTTGTTTTTGGATGGCGAATTAATTTTGCGAAAACATTCAATATTGATGACAGAATAGGAAAAATTCACATGAAAAGTGCATATTCGCTATTTCCGGACCACAACTTGGATCGCTGCTTGAAGCAATCGGACGTCTAGCCACAGCGAAACAGTTTATCTGAGGATTACTATATATAACTATATACTTAACTGGGTTTGTGTGTAATTCCAATTGCCTTTCTTATTTTACAGTTCTTATTACTCGTATTTATTCCGCCGCGTATTCGTCTGTTTTCCTTAGGTTTATCACACTGTAAGAATTTCTCTTTAATCATTCAGGATTCCGTTGACTCCCAGATATGGCTATAATAGTTCTGAGGTGGGGATGTATCAGACTAAACAAAGCATGCTCTTTTATCCCTTGGAATCAGTCTGAATTCAACAGATGGCATATTCCAATGAAAATCGTAATGTCTATCATGATAGGCTATTCGTATCCGATGTGTATTAACCGGTCATATATATATATATATATATATATATATATATATATATATATATATATATATATATATATATATAGAGAGAGAGAGAGAGAGAGAGAGAGAGAGGAAAGAGAGAGAGAGATCTAACGTACTCCCTCGTTGGCTGAAAATAGATCTACATTCCCCCCCTCAACATGAGGTAATTTTTTGATTTTGTTGTGTAATTTATATGCTCAGTTATGATAAATACATTTTCCGATTTCTTTTGAATTTGTAGGTCTGATGAATTGAATTGTGATTATTATTCCAATTTAATAAATTATAACCATGGAATATTAATGTTTGAGCCTTTTATATTATATTCTTAGTCTGTCCTGGACATTGATTCTATCCTCTTGGGAATTTATATATATATATATATATATATATATATATATATATATATATATTGACCACTAATATTATCTATCTATCTATCTATCTATCTATATATATATATATATATATATATATATATATATATATATATATATATATACACAAATATAGATAACTATACTCGTTTCGAAAAACCCTCGAATTTTTTGATTTGCCAATAATCAAATCAATCTCGAATTTATCAAAGTTTATATATATATATATATATATATATATATATATATATATAAAACTTTGATAATCTGCAACAAAATAGCATCTAGCCTCAACTATCACGGACTGGGATGTCGTTGAATATTTCAGCGGCTCAGTATTTCTCTTGTCTAATCTAAATCCAAATGTCATGATAGGAGATGTGTTGTAAAAAAGGATGATAATTGATCGTCGAAAGAGACAAAAAAAATTTGGTGAAAAAGAATAGAAAACAAAAACATAATTATTAGTTATTGTTTGAGAATGAGAGAGCCGCCGCTATCGTCGTAGTGTTATTGTAGAAAGTTAAAATGGTGGAAAGGAAAATAAATAATGAAGACTTGCAGAAATTTCAAAGAACAACTAACATGTCTAATCAGAATGTATTTTTCGGACAGCAACGACAAAGACAAATAATTGTCGGCCTCCATATTGGAAGCGAAATGTTATCTTGGCCACGTTTTCCATTAGAACGCCATATTTGTCTGTTCTTTTTGTTTTAATTTTAAAAAACGACTTGAACTAAAGATTCTCAAATAAAATTCATTTTTACTATTTGTTTTTTTTTTCTTAGAGAATTTTGAATTTTGATTCGTTCCATTTCGAGTGTGTTTTTATTTATTTTTTTTATATTAATTCGTTTTTTTCTTTAACTTTTTTCTCTTGGATATTCTTGCCATTGTTCTTTGTTTTTTTCTTTTTCTTTAACTTTTTCTTCTTTTATAACCGTTTTCTTTTTTTCGTCTTTATTTGTTTTTTCATTCTTTCTTTTCATTTTTTTAAAATTCCTCCCTGACGTCGTTTCCAAATATCGATATTTGCATAAACGTATAAATTCCAATTTGGCTGAGATAGTTGTGTATTTAGCTAAGGCCTTCAATGTAGTTATTAGAAGCTGCGAGCAATAAAATATTCCTATCCTAATTCCCAATTCCATTTGGCATACAATATGGCTAAGTCAATAGCAAAAAGGAAGAAAAAACTTCTTAATGGTGTGTTTCCTTTCAAGAAAGAACATTTTGAGATGAGGAGGACTGTACCATTCACAGTCCAAGAAGCTGGAAACTCTACCAGTATTTAGTATCGGTTGACGATATAATATAATCAGATGATACTGTGTTGATGGCAGGCAAAAAGAAACCTACAGAATTTCTTAGACAAGTCTGTAAAGGAAATCAAGAAGAAAGGATTATCAATTATAAAAGACAGAATGTATATGGTTGTCAAAAAGAGAAAAGGGACAAGTTAAGAACTACTAATTGCAGATACCAAAATCAAACAAATTAAGATGAGTAGATATCTGGGAAATGCTTTAACAAAGGCTAGAAAATGTGACACCGAAATCCGAAGTAGCATTGGAATAGCAAAGGACGTCTTTCAAAAACTAGGTAAAGTACTAAGGCACATGAAAATTTCCTTAGAAACAAAAAAAATGTTCGATCAGTCCTCCTATATGGCTGTAAATACTGGACAATTTCCTCAGAATTGAAAAGGAATAAATGGTTTTCTACAGAAGGATATTAAGAACTACATGGAGAGAACGCGTAAGCAAGGAAGAAGTCATATCGAAAATCGAAACAAAAGAGCTCTCAGATTGAGAAAAACACAGCTGAATAGTCTTGAACAAATTAAAAAAAGGAGAGTTTTGAAATTTTCACACTTAGGCGGCATATCGAGAGAAGAGGTAGTGGGCTACTACGGGGGGGTGTAAATGGATGGCGAAAGTAGGGATAGGAAACATGGCAAAAAAGATAAACGTTAGTAATAGGTAAAAAAAGATAGGAAGCTGTGGAGAGTCATGATCGCCTAAGTTTTGAAGAGATACGGAACTTAGAGTAAGAAGAACGACCACTGAGTGATTCGCGCGAATATTGTTGCAAACATTACACTTAAATTTCTTTCAGAGTGAAGATATCGCCATTTCTCTCTGAAGTCTAGAAAAAAAGAAAGAAAATGTCTTAAAGGAAACAAAATGTTTCAAAGGAAAGAAAGAAAGAAATGTTTCAAAGGAAAGAAAGAAAATGTTTTAAAGGAAAGAAAGAAAATGTTTTAAAAAACATAAAGAAAATAAGAAAATGTTTTAATGGAAAAAAGAAAGAAAGAAAGAAAATGTTTTAAAGAAAAGGAAGAATGAAACATCTAAAGAAAGAAAATGGTTTAGAGAACAGAAAGAAAGAAAAGAGAGACAAAGAAAGATAGAAAGAAAGAAAAAATGAAAATTGTTTCAAAGGAAAAAAATAAAGAAAGAAAATGTTTCAAAGAAAAGAAAGAAAATGTTTCAAAAGACAGAGACAAATAAAGAAAATATTTCAAATGGTGGAAAGAAAGAAAGAAAGAAAGAATGAAAGAAAGAAAGAAAGAAAGAAAGAAAGAAAGAAAATGGTTCAAAGGAAAAAATAATGAAAGAAAGAAATAATGTTTCAAAGGAAAGAAAGAAAGATAGAAAGAAAATGTTTTAAAGAAAAAAATGAAAGGAATAAAATGTTTCAAAGGAAACAAAGAAAAGTTTTCAAAAGAAAGTAGAAAGAAAATGATTCAAACGAAAGGAAGAAAATGTTTCAAAGAAAGAAAGAGTTTAGGAAGAAATAAATAAAGAAATAAAATGTTTTGAAAGAAAGAACGGAAAAAAAGATGTCTCAGGAGAATAAGAAAGAAAGAAAGAAAGAAAGAAAGAAAGAAAGAAAGAAAGAAAGAAAGAAATGAAAAAGAAAGGAAGAAAGAAAGACAGGGACAAGAAAGAAAAAAAGAAAGAATTAAAGAATAAATGTGTTTCAGGAAAATATGGAAGAAAAAAGTAAAAAAAAGTAAGAAAGATTTGTAACTGGTGTCATTAATCTACCAATCTTTTCCATCTTAATATTCGTTGCAACCTTATCACGTGATATTTCACGTTTGAAATTTAGCAAATTACCATAAACATAATTTGAAACATCAGCTTCTTTCGTCAAATGTTGATCTGTGACTTCATCAACGACTATCCTCAACTTTTACAAGAGCCAAATCAGGCCAAAAACTGAAGTACTGCTGTCATATTTGGGCGGGAGCTGCCCAGACCTCACACTCCATCATTGACAGAGTCCCCGAGGCCTTGTGGGCGACGAATTATTCTCCATCCTTCAACTTCCCTCACAGGCGTGATGTGACAAACCTCTTACTGCTCCACTTCTATTTCCACGGAATTAAATTCCTTGGTTCCGCCAAGTCAATCCTTAACGACAAGAACACGCCATGTCACTTACATTGTAGAAACAATCCCCATTGCCTCCGTAATCAATCGGTGACAAGTAAGTTCCACGCGAACAGATTATTCTCGAAAAATCACTGCTCTGTGGAACAGACTCCCAAGAGGATGTTTTCCCGCTACCTACAATCTTGACCCGTTCAAGGCTAGATGTTATCTTCCACTCTTATCCGTACACATTGCTTCCTAACGTAATCCTCTACCTCGAGTGGCTTCCTTGCCCTGTAAAGAGTGAACCTTATTTTAAATAAAATAAATAAAAATGAAAAGGGCCAAAAAGAAATCTAGTATTGACTCGTGAAATTTCTGATATCAAAGATAAATTCATATCTGCAGGAACTAAGATATTTTGGAAAGAAAGAAAATCTTTTAAAGGAAAGGAAGAATGAAAAAATGAAAGAAGATGCTTCAGATGAATGAAAGAAAGAAAGAAATAAAGAAAGAAAGAAAGACAATGTTTTAAAGGAAAGAAAGAAAATGATTTAAAAGACATAAAGAATGTAAAATAATGTTTCAAAGGAAAGAAAAATTGTTTTAAAGGAAAGAAAGAAAATGAAAAAAGAAAGAAAATGATTTAAAGGAAAAGAAGAATGAAAAACTAAAGAAAGAAAGAAAATGGTTCAGATAAAAGAATGAAAGAAAGAAAGAAAATGTTTTAAAATACAGAAACAAATAAAGAAAAAGGATGGAAAGAAAGAAAGAAAATGTTTCAAATGAAAGAAAGAAAAATGTTTCAAAGAAAAGAAAGAAAAATGTTTCTAAGTAAAAAAAGAAAATGAATAAAGAAAGAAAAAAGAAAATGTTTTAAAGGAAGAAAGAATGAAAAATTAAAGAAAGAAAGAAAATAGTTCAGAAGAAAGAAAAAAAGAAAGAAAGAAAGAAAGAAAGAAAGGACGAAATTGTTTCAAATGAAAGAAAGAAAATATTTCAAAGAAAAGAAAGAAAAATGCTTCAAAGGAAAGAAAGAAAATGAATAAAGAAAGAAAAATGAAAGAAAATGTTTTAAATGAATGGAAGAATGAAAAAAACGAACGAAAGAAAGAAAATGGGTCAACGGAAAGAAAAAAAAACAATGAAATAGATTCAAATGAAAGAAAAGAAATGTTACAAAGGAAAGAAATAAAATGAATGAAGAAAAAATGAAAGAAAAGTGGAAAGAAGGAAAATTTTTTCAAAGGAAAGAAAGAGTATGTTTCAAAAGAAAGAAGGTTTTCAAAATAAAGCTACTAAGGCATTTTGAAGGTTTCTGGCCTTTTAAAAACAGCCCAGAATTCACAATTTATTTGGTAGAAACAAACCAAAAAATGTCCACGTACTTCAATCAGTTTTTTTTTTTTTTTACCAGAGTTGATGCGAGATTTACATGAAACATGTCTACAGTCATAATTTCATGAAGACATTTTCCATTGTTTGTTTTTATATCTCTTTTTCATCTAGCACTCTCCATAAACGGCAAACCTTTCTGTGACTCTTGGGAAATTAAGTTCTTTCCATACCGTAATTACAACCCCAACAGTAGTTGCTAATGAATTCTCGCTAATTAACCATTGTCGTACTTATTTCTTTACAGAGCGAATGGCGAATTGTACCTGTGTCACCTCGGCCAGTCGCTAGCGAATCCGTCTCACTTTTCGTGTCAAACAACAAGTTCAGATATAAAAGATTCAATTAATTCCCAAACTATGAACAAATGAACAAACATCAGAATTTATTTTGTAATCCTTTCTTCTTAGTCGCACACTCATATCTTGCATTATTTACATTCCTCGAACTGTTATCCTCATTTTCACTGACATATTAACGCTAATGGAATTGGAATTTATATTATTTATTTCGTCCACGTGCCACGCCTCTTCCAGATGTTTGAATTATTTCCCTTTGACTCAACTCTACAAGGTTTTTAGTTCACCACTGTAGCATGGTATTGAACTCACAAATCTTTGGGTCTAGTCACTGGATCTAACCAACGTCTTTATCCACTGGGCCATTTGTCCATTGTGGACATTTGTGCACGTTTTTTTTCTTGGAGGGGGGGGGCTTATAAACCTAATGTCTCAGCATACAATTCAGTGCTGATATTGCAATTTTTCTGGTATTATTATTACATTTTTACCAGACCTTATATTGCAATTTTGTTATTCATTGCTTTTCTCTAGCACTCTTTATTACTGATTCCTATATTGCATTCATTTCTATGCTTAGTCGGCTCAGGAGATTTTTGTGGTCTAGCATATGTGCTGATTACTTACGTTTTCGTATTTTCCAGTGATGCTCTCTGTCTATTATTTCAACCTCATCCCACTCTTCAGAATTTTTTTATTTTCCTTCATGCTACTGCTTTACGATGTTCTTGTAGTCTTACCCTAAGGGAACGACCTGTTTCTTCTTTGTATTTCTTACCACAACTGCACGGATGAAAGACTCACACACCTTTGTCATGTTCTCCTCTATGGGGGTTTCTTACGTGGAAGAGGTGTCTGCAAAGTGTTGAACCGCTTTTAAAGTTTGTCCTGATGTCATAATGACCACAGGTATTTTGTATCTAGTTCCGATAATCTATTCACATCGGGTAGGCAGACTGAAGCTGTTTTCTGAGTGCTGTTACCTCTTGTACCCTTCTATCCGTTTGTCAGAGCTGGTGCCATGTACCCAGGGCACTTGTTACGTTGTAGGGTACTACTTATAATGACTATTTCTTGTTTGTATGGCCCTGGGTCACCACTTATGACTTTTGCTCGATGTTGTAATCAGTGGATGATCCATTTCTTTTCACTGTATGAATGGCGAGATTTAAAATTATTGTCTAGTGAATGTTAGCTTGCGGGTATGGATGTTATGAACCTCTCCTCTGTTGGAGATATTAGTACATCCAGGAATTCGAGTTTGTTGTCGTTTTGTCGCTCCATTGTGAACTGTATCGATGATCATATTGATTTCACGTAGTCCAGAAGTAGCTGGACCCTTCCAGAGTATGAAAGTGTCATCTACGTATCTCAGCCATCTCTTGGGTTGGCTTTAGTGATGTGGATTCTAATGCCATTTCTTCGAAGTATTCCATGTATATGTTTGTCATTGCTGGTGATAATGGCGAACCCATTGCTAAGCCTCCATCCATATATGTCTGATCTCATTTCGAAGTGGGTTGCTTGCATACGGAAAGTCAGCATCTCCATCATGTTATCTATTCGTATACGGGTCCGATCTCTTAGGGAGGAGTCCAAGGCCAGTTCTTCCCTGACTACCAAGAGTGCTTCCTCCGTGAGAACCTTGGTGAACAAACTCACTACCTCCAGACTCACCATCTGGTTGGATATATTCCGATTTGTCTATCACTACAGTTGTATTGTTTTTTAAACTGTGCTCATATTGTAATTTTTTATGTTATTATTATTGAATTTTTTACCAGAGCTTATATTGCAATTTTTGTTTTTATTCATTGCTTTTCTCAAGCACTTCTTATTACTGGTTCCCATATTGTATTCATTTCTATGCTTGGTTGGCTCAGGAGATTTTTGTGGCCTAGCATATGTAAGACCCCCATAGAGGAGAACATGATCAAGGACAGTGTGTACGCTATCGGGTGGAGATGTGGTAATAAATACAGAAAGGAGAAACAGACCGCCCTCTTAAGGTAAGACTACAAGAACATCGTAAAGCAGTAACACGAGGGGAAATAGAAAAATGAGCTGTAGCTGAGGAAAGGGGGAGATCACTTCTCCCTGTGGGATGAGAAAAGCAATGAATAACAACAAGAATTGCAATATAAGCTCTGGTAAAAATGTAATAACACTGGCATTCATTTTAACAGACTTTTTTAGGAAAATTACACAAGCATATCTTGAAATACTAAAGAGTAAATTTATTCAATTAGATCTCCTTTGGCTTTTCGTAGAAAATATGTGAGAAATTTGTTTAAAAACAGTTATTTGACTTTGCTAACCATACGCTTCCTCCGTAGCTAAATGGTGTAGCACATCAGGTCAAATGACGGTTCCGTGTAGGATACAAGATCGATTTCTGACGGAGGAGACATATTTTCTATGAAATTTCTCAGACATTCACGCCGGTAAAATGTAATTAATACTGTTTATTATAAAAAGAGCATTTACTTAAATAATTCAATTTATAAAAATAACGTATAAACAGAAAATATATTAAAATAATTGTAGGACTTAGTCCATTTCATAATATATATATATATTTATTTATATATGTGATTATAGATGCATTTAACCATTTATGTAGAGGTCATGGATATGATTACATCGTATTATTTTATTATATTATATTATTTTTATTAATCTAATTATTCCCCTACACCATTTTATAACCTTCTTCTTTTACATTACACACTTCTCTGTTTTCAATTATGTAACCCCCCGCCATCTCCCCCGTGGCTAAAAGATTTTTATGATCAAGTTAATTCCGCTACATTTTGTTTTTTTTGGTTTATTTCAAACATTTTTTATCTGTTTATTTTCCTAATTTTCTGGCTAAATTTGTATTATAGATCTAACGTACTTATATATATTTTTGTATTTAGGCAGCAATCCTTCTTTCATGCACATTTCATTGAATACGACAGACAAGGTGC